GGGGGGGGCATTTCGAGTGAGCCCGTGTTTCGTACGTCTTCCGCGGGACCGGCCCTTGGGACTTCGGGCCTGGGACCTAAGCTTGAGCTGGAAGGTGAAAACGAAAAGAAAGCACACACGTAATCGCGCCATACATGATCCATACCGTTACCTCCACCCTCCATACCACACCAAACACCCACCCGTCATGTCTATACCTCCCCTTCTCAATCCACGACACCACCCACGCTCACGCCCGCTACCCATACTTTAGACTATGCACACTGTCCAGTCAAAAGGCTTTGCGAATAGTAGTGTGCATTATGATTTCTATATGACCTAAGAGTAAGGAGTGTTCAGACCGGGGCATGAAGGGCCAGCCTTGTCCATGCCCCGGTCCTCGCGTGTCGTGTCGTTGTAAGCGTGAAGCGTGGTGTTACCTGTGTAACGCAGTGTTGGGTGTGTTTGATCCCTCCTCCTCGTCCCCTGATTCCCTCCCCTCCTCCTTGAGGGCACTTGCCAGTCTTGGCCGGCGCGTGCCGTGTTTGTTCGGTGCAAAGTGCAGGGCATTACGACATCTTGTCATGTAAGCCCCCTGTGCTTGTTCTCGAGGCCACCTCCTGTTCTGCACCGTGACGCGAGAACATGAACAGTTTACCCTGCTTCGGCAATGTAACCCATGTGTCCGGCATTCACTGAGGTACACTCCGCGGGCTGGCACAAACATGAGCTGCTCTCTTCTCCGCTCCCTCTCTCCTCCCCATTCCCCCTCTTCCTCTCCTCCCCTCTTTACCTGTATAGGTACAGGGTATATCCTCCAAGAAAGTAGAAAAGCTCCCAAAATAATGTCGAAGAAAAGAGAAAGATAGTTGGCCCACCGCTGTGGGTCACACGTGCGCACCCCAGACGCTGGCGGGGGCCAAGGAAGCGGGTATATAGGTGCGGAAGCACCTATAGACCCAGATACCAGAAGAGGAGATAGATGAGACAGCCCGTGAAGCGTGTCGCGGAGAGGGCGAGCACGGACCAGAAGATGAATTTCTGTGCTGTCAGCTCGATTTCACACGCATTCTAGCTTTGCTGTCTGCCTATAAGGGAAGCGAGAACCCCTACCACCCTCCCTGTAGCCCACTGGCCGACTGGCCTACGGACCTCGCTGCGCTTGGCAGCTCGGCCGCCCAGCTTGCACTCACCAGATACGGGTTGAAGTTCGTCTCCTCCGGATTCGGGTTGAACTTTGTGTTGAGCCACTCGGTCACCGTGTGACTCGTGAGGACGAGGATGATGATCATGTTGACGCCGAGGAACCAGAGCACGACGTGCGTGCGGAAGTTGCGGTCCGCGTCTGCGCGCTTCGTCTCCTGCGAGCGTTTCTCCTTGACGTGCTCCATCGGGATACGCAGCTCGGCCTTGGCTTGTCGGTACAGGTCCTCAATGTCCTCCTGGCGCGTGGACTTCACTTCGGCGACCTTTTCGCCGTTCTTCGTCGTGATCTTGACTTGTCCCAGATCCTTGGCACTGCCGTTGTCACCCTTCGTTCCCCATGAGACGTCGTGGAGGTTGCAAAAGGCGTAGATCAGGAGAATGTTCACGTAGGACGGCAAAAGCAGGAGATACTGGATGAAGGACGTAAACATGTGCCATGGCTCCATGTAGATCAACGACGAGATGAAGTAGAGACCGTACGTTGCCTGCACGTCAGTTCATAAGCGAAGCTGTTTAACTTACCAGCAGCGCAAGAGCCAGGTCTCGGAACGTCTCGTTCTCAAAGAGGCCCTTGACGTCTCGCCAGCCGGCCGCGTCGTGCGGTACAGTCTGGTACACCGTCCAGCCAGCAACATAGAGCATGACGCCCTGACACACGGCCAAGAAGAGAATGCAGATCGTGTACATCCACTTGGATCCTTGCGGGCGGTTACCAAGGGAACAGATGAGGACGACGAACCTGCCTGTCAGCTATCTCTTGGCGATATGCAGCTCACAGGACAGCAATGTAAAGTTTCGAGACGACCTGGAAGATCTCCTCTCCGGCGCCGAAGAACGGATCCGTATCCGGCGACGCGACACTCGAGTTGATCAGGAAATAGAAGGCGAGGTAGTAGGATGAGATCGAGACAATGTTGAACAGCAGGTTGACGAGGTTGTAGAGCGTGAGGAACATGAGGGCAAACTTGCGGATGAAGTTGTGTCCCGACGTCCAGACCTTCCAGAAATGGGCGAGAGCGTGGATCGACGCGAACATGGAGCCGTTCAGCCAGCGACGACGCTGGGAGATGAACTCGGGCACCTTGGCCGGCACATCCGTCGATGCCTTGGCCGACTTGACGTACTGCAGTCGCCACTTTGCCTTCTTTTTCGTTACGATTTCTGGTCATTAGCTAAAGGCGGAACACGGAGAGCTCTACTCACCGAACGCCAGGATACGGTCCTCGGCCAAGAACATGTTGCGCTCGAAGATCTTGGCCTGCGCACCGGGCAGGTTCATCATCTCTCCGTGGAAGTAGGAAGCGAGCGGACCAGTGCCGTCGGGGTGGTTGCAGACCGCAGCGTAGCGGTACGCCGAGAACGCTCCGGGAAGCACAGCGATGAAGCCAAAGATGGACTCGAACGGCTTGTCGAGAATGTTGGACATCTTGTACTCAAAGTTCTGTCCGGCGACGATCGGGTTGAGCAGGTATCGACCCCACGGTCCCTTGTCCGCGATAATTTCTCCACATGCGCCGCCGACGTTGTCGTGCTTCTGGAAGACCTTGTACAGCTCGTAGATTGAGTTGCCCGACGGTTTCGTACCGACGTCGAGGAGGACGCACACGTTCGGTTTCAGCAGCGAGCCAAAGGCGTTGAAGAACCAGCGGTGCGAATTGAGCTTCTTCGCATTCTTCTCCTTCAGGCAGAAGATGTACTGCACCGGCGCTGGGGCTGGGCCGACCTCGCCGCTCTCCGACTCGGACACCATGACCTGCGACGTTCCCTCGAAGATGTGTGCCGTCACGTCCTTGCCCGCCACCGTATCCTGCATCACGCCCTCGGCGTAGATGCCCATGACCTGGAGAACCTTGAGCACACGGTGGTCGACGACGTTGCGTCCGTCGGCCACGATGCACACGACCACCTTCTGCCACGCTCCGGCGCCCCACACCTTGGACCTGTCGCGCCCACACAGGTTCGCAATGTTTTTGATCACCGAGTTTAGTGTTCGCAGCAGCAGGTCGGCGGTCTCGTTGTACATTGTCATGACAATCTGGAGTGTGTCAGTCTATTACTCCGCAGTCCTGCGTCGCCCGGTCGCTCAACCGCTCCTGAATGTTTCCGGCACCGTCAGAGCGTCAATATGTTCCTGGGTCACCACTTTGATCCACCGTGCCACTTCGCGAAGCCGAAGCGGTTGCTTGGGCTGCGACGTGGATTCCAAAATGGGACCGCGGAAACCTTGGTACTGCCTCGAGACGTGCAGAGCCACTCAGTCCGTCGTCACTCACGAAGAGCTCTGTCCGTCGTCCGTAGAGATACGGGCGGAGGTTGAACTTGCAGCGCATGAAGTCGTCAGGATCGCAAGTCGCGGCTGTGTACCGCATCTTCTCCATCTCGCCGATTTCGGCGCCGATGCCGAGGTGGCCATGCCGGATCACCTCCTTCGGAACCGGCACGTCGATCACAAAGTTGCCGTTCGTGAGCGGGATCTTCTTCACGACTCGGCGCGCCATCATGTTGTTGCGGACCATTTGCCAGTGACTCGTTCCCGAGAAACCCGGAGTCGCAGGCAGCTGTGACGGTGCTGGCGGGTACGAGTAGCCCATGTTCGGACTTGGCGGCGGTGGTGACGAGTACGACATGGTCGGGACGACCTCGCCGACGCCAAAGCTCTTCGGCGATCCGTCCATGTGTGAGTTTGACGAGTTCAGAGCAGTGTGCGACGAGTAGCTCTTGTCGTCGTGGTCGCCCGAGTAGTAGGACGTCAGGTCATTGTTATAGTAGCTCCCATCGTTCGAGTGCACTGGCGCCAGCTGGTTATGATTGTAAGCGGGCGAAGCCGGGCTGCTATTGTGATTGTCATATGGGTTCGGGGGCGGCGGCCCATAGTTGTCATATTGGTCGTAGCCTTGTCGCTGTGCGTCGTAGCTCTGGTTGTTGTAGTTTGTGCTTGTTGGCCCCCTAATGAGTGGAGAGGTGTCCATGGCGCTGGCGGGCGTGCCGGTGTAGTAGTCGACGAACGAGGACGCACTGAGGTTCGAGTGCTGGGTGTGGTACTGCGGTCGCGGACTCGATCGAGGTGATGGCGATGAGCGGTAGGTACTTGAGTAGTTGACAGCGGGGACAGTGGACCACTCGCTCTGGCGACTTTGCGTGTGCGCCTCTCGCGGTTCCAAGGGACTCGAGCGACCTCTGGCGTTAGGAGATGTGCCGCCATACGGGGAACGCGTCCGGGGCGGCTGGGGCGTCTGGGCTGGGCGCGTGGGTGAGGAGCCCTGTGCATGATACGGATGGTTGAAGGGGTACATGGCTTGCTTGGACCTGCTGGGCGTTATGTGCGTCGCAGCGCGTGCAGTGGTCGCAGTGGGCTCTGAGAGACAAGACTTTGAGGGCCTGACTTGCCTGGCGGACCTGGGGGCGTGCTCGTGGATAGGTCTTCAAGGTCTGTGCTGTTAAACCGCCGAGCAGAGACGCTCGAAATCCCACTCGCGCTCGGTCTCATGCAGTCGTCCAGCAGTGGTCGTTCAGGTCGCCGCCGGTGTCGGTGCTCAGTGTGCAGGGCGGGGGCGAGTCGTCGATGATATGAAGGCGAAGCGCACGCTCACTCACAAGTCTCACGACAGCTATTCATGCAGCAGCCAGCCTCTGCTGGAAGCTGCAATCGGCGACCAACGTCAGGTTCAGACTACTGGAGCCGGCCCAGCCGAACCATCCGGGCCATCCGGGGCGACCCTTGCCTTGGCCTACTTGGCCACGCATGATTGTAAGGAGGGAAGCCAGGTATAACTAGGGAGTTGGGAGCACGGGGCGGCTCGTGCGGCGGCGTCGGGAGGGGAGGGAGGAATTCACCCTCAGGTCTCCCAGGATCTCGTAAGTAGCGCGCTTCCGTCTGCGAGTATATGCACAGATAGCGGTCATTATTTTTAGCTTGGGAGCGAGTGTATCGGTGCAGCTGGAGGACAAGCGGTGCAGGTGAGCATGTCAAGCTGGATAGAGGTAGTGTCGTGTGTGCCGGGGATGCCGAGTTGAAGAAAGGAAGACCAGGATCCTGGAGTGGAGGCTGAAGCCGGATGAAACGAGTCCTGGCGCACCTGCCGTTGGCCCCGCACTTGCAGTCCTTGACACTGGCATTCCTGCGAGCCAGGCCTACCCACCACGTTTGTGAGCCTTCAAATCGCAACCAAAAGCTCGCAGCAGCCTTTACGGCTCTCTTCGACCAGATCTCGATCGCAAGAGCATTCACCAGTGCCGGAAAGAGGGTGTGACATGCATAAGAGTGTGCCGTGCCGGTTGAACAAGGACGAGGCAGGAGTGGCGTCAGGGGGTGGCCCGATTCGATTTAGTCGGCCTGTCTGATGTGCTCCGCCGCCCCCACCCCGGCGCCCTAACGGCCTTGCCGCATTCTAGCCGCAAGAAGAATTTCCAGACGTCCAGACACGCACGCCCATGCTACTGGCTGAACAGTCTAATGCTCGTATGCATGGCAGAGGAGGCTGGGAGATAACGGGAGGGATAAGATAAACGGCCAGCAGGTGTGCCTGGGGCGTGTGGCACACTCAGCCCCGACCGCGCCGAACGCCCAGCCCCGAGATGAGGCCGGCCGGTGCGCAGGCGGCAATGAACCTCGATCCTCGAACAAAAGATGCTTGCCACCAGACGCGTGTTGAGCACAGACCCTCTGCTGGAGTAATGTAAACAAACTCTCTCCATTGTCCTCTGTTTCTGGCATTCCCAGCAAACGTCTTTCGCTCGTCACATGTAACCCTTCCTCAACCCTCGATTGCACGATGCCCGGCACACTGAAGAAAGTACGTTTCAGATCGCCCTCCCCGTCGTCCTCGTCCTCGGCGAGTCTGGCCAGTTTCGGGCACCCAGTCACCATGGAGCCGACGCCGACCCCACCGGACCCATCGGACATTGAGGGACCGGGAACGCCAACTCCGGGCCCGAAACCCCTCCCCATCCCACTCCCCATGCCGACCCCGACGCCAGCTTACACGAAGGAGGATCTGCGAGCCACACTCAAGGCGGAGTCGAAACGCATGGCCGCCGAGGAGAAGAAGGCTGCTGCAGAGAAGAAGAAGAAGGACAAGGCCGCCGCCAAGGACGCGAAGAAGAGCCCGTGGCAGCTCGAGAAGGAGAGGCTGGAGGCGGAGACGAAGGTCCGCCTGAAGGAGATTGAGGCCGCACACAAGCAAGCCAAAGCTGAAGAAAAGGCTGCAAAGAAGGCAGAGCAGAAAGCGAAGAGGAAGGCAAACGGAGGGGGGTTTAGCTTCTTTGGCTGTTTCCGGCCCAGAGGATGTGGTTGTGATAAAGAGTGCGGCTGCCACTGCGCAACTCCCCCAAACCCCGCGAAGGACGGCGAGGACGAGCTCAGCTACACTTACTACCCGAAGTACGAGCCGATCAACCAGCCGACTCCGGACTACAGCGCTTGGAAGGCGGGACCGGGACCACTCCTCACCCAGCAACTCGTGTACAATCCGCCACGCGCTGAGGAGGCTGCACGTCTGCACTCGCGTCTTAGTGGTCGCAACATTTCCGTGCACTACCCCGTCCTACCGAGTCTGAGGGAGTACGAAGGAGTATGCGAGCCATGGAGACGATATGAGGGATGGAACGGCTACGGCTGGGAGGGAGACAGCATCGGCGAGCAAAAGAAGCCGGAGAAGAAAGGACCACCAAATCAAAAGCCGGGAGGACAAGGCGGACCGGGAGGAGCTGCCAAGCCGCAGCAGCAAGGAGGAGGGAAGGGCGCTAAGTGTGCTGATTCCGCCTCGAAGTCGCCGAAGCAAGCGGCAGATGCCAAAGCTCACGAGTCCAAACCCGACAACGCCGAATCTCCCAAGGCAAGTGAAGACGGCGATAGTCGACCAACAACGCCAAGTGGTGGGGCGACAAAATCCCCAGCCAAGGGTATTCTCAAGAACGCAAGCGGCAATCAGAAGGAGGGCGGAGGAAGCGGAGATCAGCCGGGTAAAGGGAAAGGGAAGAAGACGGTCAGGGTGAACGAGAATAATGACAATGCTTCATAGGTACAACTTCACGATAGACGCGACACACATGTAATGCTGTCACCGCTTGTAGACGACAGTAAAGCCGCTGTTCGTCAGTTTCAGCGACGACATCGGGAAACTCACTCCCAAACACGATCAACAGTCTGCAGACAGCTGCCGAGCACAGTTTTGCCCGTGTCAGCCTTGATCCACTCGTTGATCTTTCGAGCCTCGACGGCGATGTAGTCGTCGTTCTCGTCCTGCGACTCGGGCGGGATGGCAACACTGGAGTCAGCTCAATCAGAGGTCCGCACAGCTCTCTAAACTCACCGGCCCTCCCGAACGGTGCCATTCAAGACAATGATACCACCCTTCTTCGTTGCATTCAGAGCAGTTTTGAAGTTCTCCAACGTTACGGATGTATCGTGCACGAACGCGAGATCGTAGCCTCGCTCTTCCGGGTCGTAGCCCTCCTGCGTTCCTGGAGGAGAAAGTGAACTCGCAGATGTGTGCACCTTTGGGAACGGGAAGAAGTTCAGGTCAAGGTACGCTTTCTCCGCCTTCGCAGCCTTGGTCGTACTCGTCTCCAGCACGTCGATGCGGCCCTGCGCCGGCAGCGGTGTCGCGAGGAAGGTAGTGGAAAGACTGTTGTCAGTTTATTCCCGCCCTAAACGGAGCTGCTCCGTCGGAGCAACGCTCACCATCCCGGCCCAGTCCCAATTTCCAGGACTGTCTCAACTTTCGCCGTCTTGATGAGAATCGCGAGGAACTGACCGAACATCTGGTTGGGCGGTGGAGGCTCGTTCGGCGGCAGCTTCGGCAGAGCGTACTCTGCATTGCCAAGCCGTGTGTCAAGATAGATCTGCGTTCCGAGGGAGGTCTTCCCTGCCGGCGTTAGCGCTCTAGACGCTTGAGGTTGAGCTCACAGTACTGATTGCCCGCCTCGTCTGAATCCAGTGGCCGGCTCATCTTCACTGACATGAGCCGTGTACTCGCAGCTGCTCCCAAGATGGCAGCAGGCCGCAGCTCGCGCAAGCTTCTCAAGGCCGTACGCTGTGTCGTTCGGGAGATCATTGTGGTCAAGTGCTAGAACAACAGGTACATCGGCCAGATGATATGACGCACACTGGAAGTGGAGGTTCGTTCGGTCACCTGCGACGGGGGTCGTATCCGGCCCTCCCGGTAATTTGCCGTGGCATATGGATATTGCCACAAGCGAGTAAAAGAAGAGATCAGAGATCTTGGTGGATAGGTAGTCTCATCGGGCAAGCCCTCTGAAGTAGCAAATATGTTAGATCGCATCATGTCGTCTTCTCGTCGTCGTCGGGGCTCGAACGGGCGTCTGCTTGGTCGATGGCGTTGGGCGCCAAACCTGGCACCAGTTGATGCCATTCGCAAACTGATCACTGACGTCGGATGGTCCCAGGACGGTTCATTCACGAAGCGGCTGGGGTGCGCCTGGGATTGTTCAGCCAACATCTCCGCAGGAGGCGCACAGTGTTGCATCAGCTCGGGGGACAGCCAACACTTCAGTATGGCTTGCTCTCGCAACCGACGGTGAGCTGCTTCCTATTTACGCAGCCCATCAATCAGGTTGTGCCCCCGTGACTCAACCGACCGCGCAGGACTGCGCGCGCGGTGTCGGACAAAGGGCATCCCAGTCGCGTAAACTCCGAGCGGCGTCTGGCAGGGCGCTCTGAAGATCCGCTGTTGCTCCATGCTCTAGTTGCTAACATGAAGGGCACTGGTGACGACAGTCACTTTCTGGACCGGTCCTCCCGATCAATACTGAAAGTCGACCTCACATGCCCAGCAATGAAGTTTGGAGGTTGACTATCAGTCTCCGGCAGTCGCTGCTTTGAAACTGATAAAGCTAGCAACGGTAATGAGGCCCATACTGAGCTCTAGCCGATACTCTCCGAGCGAGGTGGCCAACACAGCTGCGGCTGTGGACCCAGTTCCGTAGTATCCACTAGCGTGCCGAGATACTCACATCCGTGCAAACGATAAGCCTCCCAGAAACAGGCTCTAGTCTAACTGAAATGATGACAAAAAGCTCTCTGAGCTCTGGGTTAAAACAGAGCAATGATGTTTGCGTTACGACTTACATATCGTTAAGAGGCCTAAACTTTTGCCTTGGAGTAGTTCACTCTCCGATCATCGGTTACATCGGTTCAATTGGCCCCGTTACTTATTGCGAATCAAGGGTTTTTGGCATTTTAGCGATTGGCTGCTTGGTGCTAACGGAATGCGATCGGGTTCGACTCACGACCACTTATTGTTAAACGCCGGAGTAAAGCGATCACTGGTGATAGGTAACCACGAGGAATGGGGGATGTCCCCAATCGTTGGCTAAGCGGTTTTCAGTGCGGTGGTATAATACCAAAAAATGGGCTTGTTGGACGGGGACCCGCACAGGTTCGATCCTCTGAGGATGAAAGAACCATCGGTCGTAACGCAAAACCCTTTTTGTTTGACGCGGTGCCATAATTTATTAGCCTCTCATGTCAGCTTGCATGCTGCTTACATTCCCTCTGTCCGGCTCACTCGAGGTGCTCACATCGATATGAAAGTATCCAGTGACTCGGGCCCCTCCTTTGCAGTTGCCCAGCGTACCCTGCACGCCGGAGAGCTAACCTTGGGGAGTCTCGTCTCGAACGGCAGGGTGCTGCACCCTTACCCCGCCGAGCTAACTCAACGTGCATACTGCGCAGAGCCTGCCATTCGAGACCATTCCAGTAGCCCAAGCGGAAACAGAGCACCGGACTCTCGAATCGACCATACCTGGGAGCCGGAAACTGGGATCAGATCGAAACACATGACTTCGATCTGTGAGCGCGGGGTTCGTACGTCGCAGGCCTAATTGGGAACAGGATCGAGCCTTTGCACTGTCGATGTGCGCAGATAATCAGCGGGTTGCGCACGCCAATCAGTATCCGTGAAGTCACAATAAGCGTTGTCGCACTATCATCTGAGGCGCCACTGAACATATGCACCGCGCCGATCGCTCGGCGAAGTTGTAGGAAATCAAAAATGCATAAACCGCTGTAGCTCTACACATCCATCCTTCCCAACTTCTGTACCATGGCAGCTGCAGAGCCCTAGGGGCAAGGCCACAAGGGACATCAACGGTTTCGCTCACGGGGTTCGATGTTCACGGCCCCCAAAGCGTCAGCCGCGGCTGTAGCATCTTCTCCCTAGATTTTTAGCGCCAACCGCCTCAAAAGGGCCCAGGTCTTCCAGTCGCCCATCCCCCAGGTAACAGTTGGCTTAGTGGTAAACGTGCGGTTAATAAGAGATAGATGGCAAGGGGATCCGCACACGGTTCGTTCTCTGGGACAGCCGAAAAAAGGTCGTATTGCTCCTTTTTGTCGCCTCGTTTGTCCAAGTGCGACCGACGCCATACAAGGTCGACTGCATCCACAGTCAGTTCATCTCCACTCTACAGCAGGCAGTGGACCGCAGCTGGGCTGCAGTGTATACCGGGCTACAGGGATGTAGTCGCCATGGATTAGCTTGGGAGTGACCGGCGCATGGCAGTCGCGTCAGGAGCCCGTGCGGACTGGTTTGGGTGGGACTGTCGACCGTCGGGGCGGCGGGTTGTCATCCAGAGGCGAGCTTCGGTGCCCTCAAGTGTGGAAAGGTGACTCATGCTCCTAGGCGCGGTACATGACGAGCAATGGCAGGAGTCGAGAAGCTTCATGTGTGTCGCGGCCGGCGCCTCGAGCGATGGTTTCTCTGCGGTGAGCTACTCAGGCGGTCAGTAATGTCCAGCTGAGGGGTATATCTGAAATGCTATACATCCAACCGTACATGCTACCATGACCCTCTAGAGAAACGCTGTTTAAGCGTCAACAACCTCACGGAGGCGACGGATGGTGGAGCGGACGGTGGCGGCGGCGGGGGTGCCGAGGGTGTAAGCACCACCGGCGTACTGCTTGGCACAGCCCTTGCACTTCCAGATACCGACGGCGGTACGCTTGACGGCAGACTGATTGTCAGTTCAATTCCCGCAAAAACAACTCACCTTGCCGCACGAGGGGCAGGCGTAGCGGGCGTGCTGGGTGATTTCCATCTTCTTGACGGTCTTACGGAGCGAGGCACCGTAACGGGTACCGTACTTTCCGGTGACGCCAACCTTTTTGGTACGCTTGGTCTAGATGTTAGCTGCAGCTCCCGGTGGTAGAGCATAGGGTCGGCAGTGTTCCGGCAGTGTTCCATCGGCGAGAAGGCTTGCGACGGCGATTAGGCGCAAGGTCCGAGCGGAATGCGAGAAAACTTTCGATGTCGGTTCAGCGCAGGCTATGCTGTCGGATAAGGGCGTGTAGTAGGTCTCGCGGGTCACGATCGATATCGCGGCCCACACAATCGAAAGCTGTTTCCATGTCGACACATCGATCTCCTGCTCCAGCGCTCGTCGACAACATGCACATCTCCGGTCGATCACGCTCCGTTGAAGAATCGTTCCGCCTGCTGTCCCAAACCATCTGCGATCACAGGTTCACAAGATTCGTCGTCCGCTGTGTCCTTCTTCCAACGTCATCCGGTCCACTGTCGCTCCATCGGTCGTCCCAGTCGCTCGAAATCGTGCCGATCGATCGTTCGCAAGTCGTCCGTCGGTAACACTGCCGGTGCCGTCGTCGCGACTCACCATTTTTGATACGAGTTGGTGACCTTGATGGTTAGAGTCAGACTCAGCCGCCCGTCGAAACACTTGAGCAGCCACCGCCCTGCAACGGTCGCCTGCACGGAACCAATTCTCCAGAGGGCACCTTCCTCGAAAGTGGCACTCGGAGTTTAGCGTGGGCCGCTGAAAACGCCGACAGTTTCGTTTCAGTAGATTCCCCGGTTTTTTTTCAATTCAGGATTCGGAGTAGCGCAATGAAGTCCGATCACGTGATGGCATGACGTTAGCCCGACTGCTCCTGAAATCGAATCGATCGGAAATGATAGTGCTCAGCTGGACAGGATCAGCCAGCTAGCTGCACCACCAACTTTTGCTCGAGCCACCCATCTCATCATGTCCGGCAAGCCCGTCAACGAAGCTTCGTCAAAGGCACAGCCCCAGCCTGTGCCCAACCTCAACAATCTCTCCCGTTTGTCCGAGTCGTCGACCGGTGACTGGGAGCGCGGAAAGCCCAGCGGCAACGCCCGCAGCCCCAAGGCGACCACCTCCGTTCTTGAGCAGGCCGGTGCCCAGCTGGACAAGCTTTCGATCGGTGACAAACCCCCTCAGGCTGCTGCCGCCCGGCCAGCCCACGTTCAGACCGGCTTTGTTCCTGACGAGAAGCGGTCTCAGTCGCCTCTCCACCCCAGGCTCCAGCGCGAGGGCTACGGCTTCCGCCCCGCTTCGGGCGCATCGACCCCCACCGGCTCCCACGCCAACCCGCTGTCGCCCTCGGTTGGTGCTCAGAGCACTGACGACAAGGAGCTCGAGGATGAAGAGCTCAATGCTCAGCTGAACGACGAGGTCCGCAACGCCCTTAAGGAGCCCGTCACCACGCTCGCTACCACCTCCGCTTCCACCGAGCTTCTCCCGCCCGGTGGCATCGCTGACGCTAATGGCTTAGGTTGGCCCGGTACGTTGTGAATTTGCCAACTGCACTAACGTTCAGCTAAGCGCACCCACCTCCGTCTCCAGTCGACGCCGGAGGAGAAGGCGAAGAACCTCGAGGTGCTTGCTGGAGCCCTCCGAACTGTTCTTGAGTGTATCGGCGAGGACCCCGACCGTGAGGGCCTCCTCCGCACTCCGGAGCGTTACGCCAAGGCGCTCATGTGGATGACGAAGGGATACGAGGAGCGTCTGGTTGACGTGATCAACGATGCCGTCTTCGCCGAGGACCACGAGGAGATGGTCATCGTCCGTGACATTGACGTCTTCTCGCTCTGCGAGCACCACCTCGTCCCGTTCACCGGCAAGATCTCGATCGGCTACATCCCCAACAAGCTCGTCCTCGGACTCAGCAAGCTCGCTCGTATCGCCGAAACCTTCTCGCGCCGCCTTCAAGTTCAGGAACGCCTCACAAAGCAGGTCGCCCTGGCCATCATGGAGGCCATCCGCCCGCGTGGTGTCGCCGTCGTGATGGAGGCTAGCCACATGTGCATGTCGATGCGCGGTGTCCAGAAGCCCGGCGCGACCACAGTTACCTCCACCATGCTGGGTTGCTTCAGGACCCAGCAGAAGACGCGCGAGGAGTTCCTCACGCTCATCCGAACCCCTAGCATGACCCGGCATTAATCCAATCCATATCTCAAGACTGTCGTACATAGACGGCAGCATAGGCTCAACACAATCAAATATATAGGCGTGTACATTCATCTGTACTGTAACAATGTAGTTTCTTGCATCTTCATGACCTCACGTAATCACTGCAGAAGTGGGAGACGGCCGTAGGTATGTTCATTGTCATTCACCCTGCGGTCGAAAATAGCCGCAGGTCGGCTTACTCGAGGCCTGCGGGGTCCTGAGTGCGAACTGCCAAGTCTGAGTCGTCATATCAGCAGATTAAACTCGCAAAAGGACGCCGTCATCGCTGACAGAAAGCAGAGGGATACGGAGTTCGGCCAGGTCTCCAGGCCGATGGAGTGGTGCGAGCAGGCGGAGTGGAGGCCGAAGCGGCCGAGTATTCGGACTCAACAAACGGCCGCAAGCTTCCCATTGCCTGGTAAGCGGAGCAGCTTCATAGCCTTGAACGCTAGACATAACTTGTGCAGAGACTAACGAGGCTTAGCTCCAAGTCACGCCCACGCCTTAACCGATGCATGTTGTTTGGGTAACGAGCGGGTGGTGGAGTGAGTCGTGATCAGTGGTTTTCCATCCTCCGTCGGTCTGTGCGCACCGCTGGCCGCTGGCCGACGGCCAAGAGACCGAGGGCGCGCGTCCGTGCCTGTCATTTGACGTCACCCACTATTAGTCAAACCACCTCTTGATCTCCGTTTTATCATGTCCTCCTGATCTTTTGGATTGCCGCACGCACTACTCTCGACATCTCACACTCTACGCTCCGCGACTTCGACTGTTGAGCCGTCTACTGGCGTTCAAGGTGGCAGCCATGCTGCGTCCTTGCCACGCGTAAGTCTGCGAGTGCTGGCGACGCTAACAAGTCAGATTGGCGTTTCTATTTGCGCCACCGGTTGTGCTGTCGCTCATCTACCGACCCTTCTTTGGTAGGCGGGTGGGCCTCGTCCTGCTGTGCATCGTGTCCGCCGCCGTCGTCGATGCATGCATTCTGAGGAGTGTGAGTGGCATCCTAGCCGCCGAGCTGACATGCAGCTGCATTGTTTGACGGGAAATAGGTTCGAGCTACCCCTGGCGGGCTTCACCTTCTTGCAAACGCAAATAGCGCCGATCCTCGCCGCACTTTCGTCCGTGACGCTGGTTCTCCTGCACTCCACGCTTTCGCTTGGAGAAGTCATCCCGTTTGCGTCGCCCGCAGGAGACCGGACATGGGACGAGCAGATCGAAGAGGCCCGGGAGACGGGAAAGCTTGCGCCTAGCACAGTTCTCACTCTTCGCCGACGGCCAGGTGCTGCAGCGTTCTGGGCCGGAGTTTCGGCCGTTGGAGCGCAGCTGGTCATCGAGTCTTTCGGTTTGTCGAACTGTATCGGCATGGGAGCAAAGGGTTTCAGCCCGGGTTGCATGCTGTTTGGGCTGGCGAGTGCCATAGGCCTCACGCAGTATCTCGGCGGCGGTCTTTCGACACGGCCGGACTATGCGTGCTGGATCCTGGGCACGCTGTGGCTTACTGGGGTCAACGAGTAAGTCTACTCTGTGGAACCATCACTGACGCGCAGCATCGCCTCTCGGGGAGGTCTCTGGACGTGGTCAGGCGGCATGAAGAAGGATGGCTGTGCTTGGGTAGAGTGAGTGCTGCTGATCCTGCCGTTGCTAACTCCAGGCCCGCTATTCTTTCGTGCTTTTTGTCTTACCTCGCAACGGCCACTTCGGCGCTCTTCGCTCATGTTCACACCTTGTTGATCCTAGTTCCCGACCTCCCGCCGTGCCCGCCCCGAAATCCAATCAAGCACCTGCAACTCGTTTTGCACTGCATTATGAACCCGCCTGAGGTCGATGCCCGATTGCTGTCAAGTCTCGTTAATGCTGAGGACGGGGTTGACTTCAACGGCGGAACCGTTGTGAACTTCTGTATCGTCAAGCGCGCCTTCCCTCGAGAACTTGTGATTCCTGTAATTGCGGTTTACGCCTGGCGACGTGCGACCCGTGACCTTCTCGACAAACCTGACCCTTCTATCCCGGCCGAAGATCTGGCTGCCCGTCGGCGCCGTGCTTTGGCTGCAATCCAACTGCATCTCGTTCAAGCGTACGAGCCCGAGAGCTCTGCACTTGAGCGTGTGTTCACTCTCACTACTATCCCTGGACTATCCGGTCAGGACCATTCCGCCTTTTATCTGTTCGCCTCGCTCATTCCGCGCCTCGCCCCGATATATCCATTCCTGGAAATGTGCCGCGCCTACGCCGTTGATATCGGCTTCGGATCGCCTGGCCAGCTTGCACGCTGCCTGACACAGGCGAACGCCAACATTCACCAGTGTCTACCTGTCACGAGCCACTCGCATTTGGAGTTTTACGCGTATGCTGTTATGGGCTCTCTGTCGGAGTCGGTGTGTTACCTCGCATGGTCAGTGCTGGACTCGACGGGCACACGGCCCTCCGACGACATGCAGTGGTCGGCGGCGATCCATCCTGCGGTGTCTCGACGGGTACTTCAGCCTGGTGCCCCTCTTCCGACGCTCATGCGGGCTCACACGGTTGCCAAGTCGCGTGACATTGGCCGCGCGATCCAGTACATCGCCGTGTCCCGTGACATTGTCAAGGACGCCGCCAAGGGACGCCTCTTCGTTCCTCTCTGTTCGTTCAAGTCGCCGCGCGAGCTTCTCCAGACGTTGCTCCCGGGGCCCGAGCACGCTCCTCCTTCTCACGTTGTCCTTGGCCTTCTCGACCAGGCCGAGGCTTTCCGTGTCGGTACCGACATGGGCATCAATGGCCTGCCGCGCGCTGCCCGGGGAGGCGCCAGAGCGCTCGTCGCCAGTGCTTTCCAGGTTGTCGGCGATATCCGACGTAACGGCGGTCTTGTAGATATGCGCGGATGCTGCACATGCCGGTGGAGGCACGTCGTAGCTACCGCGAAGGGCTTGTGGTGCTAAGTTGTATGCATGTACTTTCTGTCTTCCTTGTCCTCACTACTTCTGATGCAGGTTGAGCGATGCGAGGGAGAGCACGTCGCTCCCAACGGCATTGGAACCAAACAAAACGTGATAGCGCCACGTGCGCCACGTAATTTCGGCCCCGGTTGACGCGACTGTTGATGGATTTCTGAGCAGACATGACGGAGCTGTAACCAACCCTCGACCGCACTGGAGCGCCGACAGATCAACGAAGCAGGACGCCATGGCACCGCCGCCGTGTGCGAACCCGCTATTTCTGAAATGGGTGGAAGGTAAGCTGCGAGATGAGCCGTCGTAGCTGACAGACAGAGTTGCGCGACGATGCCCGCCAGAAGGGGCTGAAGACGGCGACAATGTACGCCAAGGGGTGTCGTTCTCTTGCCGCCTGTCCGATTGCCTACTCTCGTCCGCGCGATCTCATCCAGCTGCAAGGTATTGGTCCAAAGACTGTCAACATTCTGGAGCGGCGACTGAAGGCTCACTGCGAGGAGACTGGTGAGCCATACCCGACTTCGCCGGCCCGCCCTGCTCCACCACGACGGCAGTCCGAGCCACCAGCCGACATCACCAGTGACGCCCCACCACCAAAGAAGAAGCGCGCCGCACCCAAGGTGTACATCCCGCAGAAGGGCTCTGGTGCTTACGGCATCCTTATTGGACTCCTGCTACAGGTCGAAAACCCAGAAGACACGATTCAGGTCTTCCTCACGAAGAACGAGATTATCCGTGTCGCCCAGCCGTACTGCGACAGCAGCTATGAACATTCAGAGCGCGGGGGCTACCAGACTGCGTGGAACGGCATCAAGACGCTCATTAACAAGGGCTACGTCTTCGTCTCGGGCAGCCCGCACAAGTATTGCCTGACCGAGGAGGGATAGTGAGTTCTTGCAGCCGAAGGTTGCTAACAGCAGCGATGTCGCCGTTACACTCAGGAACATGCACCCCGACTTCGAGGATGAACCGAAACTCTTACCGCTTGCTCGGAATGACGAGCCCTCGCTGTCTGAACTGCTCGAGGCGGAGTCGGGCGCAGGCTCGGGACGGCCGTCGCGGACAGGCTCGCTGGCGAAATCACGATCAGTGTCAGCCTCGAGTGCGCCGAGTAACAGCAACAAGTTCGGCTTCTGGTACATCGACAAGTATGGTGCCCGCGTCCATGATAGGACTTCTGCCCGCCAACGTCTCGACCCGGACGAGTTTGTGACGCTTCGCCAGATCGAGTTCCGCAAATCGCAGCGGGACCACGCCATTGTCTCTCAGCTCAAGTTTGTCGAGGAAGGCAACGACCAGACGTTGCTCGCGTACATTGTCGATGAGGGTGCGCCTCCGAAGTGCAGCACCTTCGAGGAGACAAATAGTAGCGTCGCACCCATGCGAACAGCAACACGCTCACCCTCCGTGGCGGCTTCGGTGGCGGATTCGGTGCAGCCTGCTAAGAGGGCGAGGCTGCCTTTGCCGCAAAGGGAGCTCAGTCGCGTGACCTCCGCAGGCAGCGCCTCCGAGCCTCAAGCTGGACCATCCCGCCCGAGATTATCAGCACACATGCCATTACCAGGCGACGAGTGCACCACGCCAGACGTGTCCATGAAGGACATGATCACTCTCCCGCACGGCAGCTATGAGGTTGTCCTCATTCTTGACACTCGCGAGATCGAGTCCAAGTCACACCGTGACAACATTGCGGACAAGCTCACTGCCCGGGGTGTTCTCGTGGAGACGCGCGCTCTCCGCCTCGGCGACATGTGCTGGATCGCCCGCCGCCTCGACCCACACGGAGACGAAGGGGACGAGTGCGTGCTCGACTATGTCATTGAGCGCAAGCGACTCGACGACCTGTGCTCGAGTATCCGGGACGGTCGATATAACGAACAATGCTACCGCCTACAGCGTTCCGGAATCGGCAACGTCTTCTACATCGTGGAGGACTGGCAGGTGGCTGAGCGGATGGAGTTCAACGGCAAGCAGATCATGACGGCGAAGTCGCAGATCCAGGTCGTGAGCGGCTTCTTCCTGAAGGAGACGCACAAATTGGCGGACACGATCGACTTTCTCGTGACCATGACGAATGTTGTGAGCGGACTTGTGCGGGATCTACATGTGATTCCGTCGCGACATGTGTCCAGGACTTCCTATGCGGCCCTGCAGCGCCGGCTGCGCGAGGAGTATCCGGGCAAGGCGTTCTTGTCGTCGTTCGAGGTGTACCAATCGCTGAACGACAAGTCGGCCGTGCGCACCGTGTACGAAGGGCTCGGCCGCATGCTGCTGTGTGTGAAGGGGATGAGCCCGGAGAAGGTCAGTGCTATTCTTGACTGCTGGGATACGCCGCGCGCCCTGTACGAAGCCATGGTCTCACGACACGCTCAGGGCGAGCTTGGGGAGGGCAGGAAGAAGCGGGGACCCGAGATGATGTTTGCGGACGAGGTGCCCGGCGAGGGGCGGCGCAAGATCGGAGACGTGCTGAGCAAAGCAGTGAGTGCCTATCGATCAGGTGAAGACGGTCTCGTGGCTGTCTCGGTGTAACGGTGCATGATGCTGACAAGCACTAGCTGTGGTCCGCTCTCTGGGGCGAGGACTGAGGACCCGAGACAGAACTGTGAGGGACCAGGACCAAACGTGTGAGCTGCCGGGACGGACACGACCAATTGTTGTATAGTTTGTATGATTAAACCCCGTGTCCACCTGAGGGTGCGTGTTGATGTCATGTTGTTGAGGAACGCTCTCATGGTGGAGTCGAAAGGCAAGACGTCAGCGCACGGCGCACGACCTCAGACGAGTAAGCAGACGAGCAGGAACAGTGAGAGCTCTGATTACCGTCACAGCTCCGCAGCGCCCGACATTCGTGGTCCCATTGGTCGTCGGTGCCGGTGTGCCTCGGGTGTCAGGCTCCATCATCACGGCCTCGGTGCTCTTTCGACGGAGGAATTCTGCGGACTGTCCTGGACTAGCTGCGGCCGGAGGGGGAAGGCCGTACATGCAGCACTTGTCAGGAGGGGCAGCTGATCAGCTAGCCTCCGCGGGATCCCTGGCTTCCCCCGCCCAGGCGACCGCCAAAAGGACCCACATGGGGAGAGCAAGCCAGGGTGGCCGGCTTGCAACCTAACAATAGAACAGAGGTTTGACGTCATCCCATGACGGAAACTCAACGCTCAGAGCCTACTTGCTTGCTGGGCCCGAAAGCATCAGGGATGATGGCAGGATGCCGCTGGCCATGCTGGTATCATGCAGGTCATGCTTGTGGTGTCCAGGCCATTTTGGGTGGCCTGGGTCAATGCTGTCAGGCTCCAAATGACCAGCCTGCCCCTGCGACCCTGGGGTGATATCCGTTGGGAATCCGGTTCGGCTGACCCAGCTGAGCCAACTGCACTTCTGGGAAGAGGCAAACACTGGGAGGCCGGGAGGGGGGACGACCGGAGGAGGCGTCTCGGGCGACCGGGGCTCGGCGGCGGCTCCACGATCCTAGTATAACTATGGCTGCGACTCGGAGCACGCGGAGAATCCCCTCACGCACCTAGCCCACCTACTCATCTGAGCACGACCATTAGCTAGACCCAAAGATCCACCATGGCCCAAAGACGCGGTCACGGATGGAAGGAGAAGTCCTCCTTCCCGCTCACGTCGGCGATGACGGACACGAGCAAGCCGGAGCAGCGCCAGCTCGAGAACGTCGACTCCGCCGGTGACGCCCCCAAGCCGAGCCAGGAGACGTACACGGATGCCAATATGAAGCGAAGGGACTCGCACAAGCCCGATCTGATCGCGAATACGACCGCGCGACTCGCCAACCCCCTCCAGGACCTGACTGAGGCGGAAGTGATTCAGCAGGCCGAGGAGTTTGCGCGCGCCAACAACCTCCCCGTCGATGAGTTCCGCAAGGGAGCCCTCATTGCCAAGTCCCCGCACAAATGGGAGCGCATGCAGACCCTCACGGAGGAGGAACGCCAGGCGCTCTACAACGAGACACACCACATCTACAAGCAGCCCAAGACGCTGTGGAACCTCGTGATCGCGTGCTCCGTCGCCGCTGCCGTGCAGGGGATGGACGAGTCGGTTATCTCTGGCGCCCAGCTCTTCTACCCCGAGCAGTTTGGTATCTCCCCAGAACCCTCCATCGCCGGCGCCCAGGCAGGCCGCAACCAGTGGCTCGAGGGTCTCGTCAACGGCGCTCCCTACCTCTGTTGCGCCGTCTTTGGCTGTTGGTTGACCGACCCCCTCAACCACTTCCTGGGCCGACGTGGTACAATCTTCGTCACTTGCTTCATCTCGTTCGCTACCTGTATCTGGAGTGCGTGCACCAACACTTGGTGGCACTTGTTCATCGCCCGTTTCTTCCTTGGAGTCGGAATCGGCCCCAAGTCCTCGGTGAGTTGATTTCTGTGCCTAGGGCGCCTCTGGCGCTTTGGACAGCTTGCCCACCGTTGCCACCGTATGCTGACATTGCTTCCCGGTTCCCGGCTGATTATCGTCGCAATTAATAACCACGCACCATGTGCCACCTCCCTTTTGACACATGATCCACCCCAATGACGTCGCCCTATCGCTCTTCGGGTGTCTGTACCTCAGACCGTGCCCATCTTCGCCGCCGAGTCGGCCCCAGCCTCCATCCGTGGTGGCATGACCATGCAGTGGCAGATGTGGACTGCGTTCGGTATCGTGAGTACGCTGGATTAGCCGGATGGCGCGACTGACCTCTAGATGCTGGGTTACGTCGCAGACTTGGCCTTCTTCTACGTCCCCGTGCACAAGCCGGGCATCACGGGTCTCAACTGGCGTCTCATGCTGGGCTCTGCCGGTTTCCCCGCCCTCATCGTGATGTGCCAGATGCCCTTCTTGCCCGAGTCGCCCCGTTGGCTCATGGGCAAGGGCAAGTACAAGAAGGCGTACGAGTCCATGCTGCGCCTGCGAGGTAACCGCGTCACGGCTGCACGCGACATCTACTACATGTTCGTGCTCCTCAATGAGGAGGAGTCGATCGTGCGCGGGCACAACCGTTTCCTCGAGCTGTTCACCATCGGCCGTAACCGCCGCGCCGCCCAGGGTGCCGCCATTCTCATGTTCGGTCAGCAGTTCTGCGGTGTCAACGCCATCGTCTACTACACCGCGAGCATCTTCACGAATGCAGGCTTCTCGCAGATCGATGCTCTCCTCGCCTCGTGGGGATTCGGTATGCTTAACGTGAGTAGCTACTATCAGTCCTTTATGACAAGCGCTGACAGGGCAGACTATCTTCGCCATCCCTACCATCTTCATCATCGACAGGTTCGGCCGTCGCCCCTTGCTCCTGGTAACTTTCCCGATCATGTCGCTACTACTGCTGTTTACCGGATTCTGTTTGTGAGTGGAACCTTTCTTGCCCTTCCCGGTCTTCGGTGTTCAGCCGATATCCGGCCATTCGCGAAAGTCTCGCTGACGTCTCCAGCTGGATCCCCGAGTCATCGCCTGCGCGTATCGGTCTAGTCGCAACAGGCATCTACCTGTATACGATTGCGTACTCGCTCGGCGAAGGTCCTGTTCCATTTACGTACAGCGCCGAGGTGTTCCCTCTGTACGTGCGTGAGCTCGGCATGTCGCTCGCGACCGCGATCTGTTGGCTGTTCAACTTCATCGTCGCCCTTACGTTCCCTCGTCTCCTGGACGCATTCCATCCGCAAGGAGCGTTCGGCTGGTAGTGAGTACTCTTCAGCAATTCATCTCCGCCCACCTCATCGTCATCACCATTCCAGGGATGCGAATGCCCAGTCACGTGCCCAGTGTCAAGCCACGACACGTGACCGGCGATCGGCTGGGGACCCCACCTCCACCTCCACTCCTGAAGTCCACCACCGAGAGTGGCACAATACTGACTTTCCAGTGCTGCCTGGTGCGCCGTTCTTTTCCTTTTGGTCCTCTTCTTCCTTCCCGAGTCGAAAGGACTCACTCTGGAGGAGCTGGATCAGGTGTTCAGTGTCCCGACTGCGGTTCATGCGAAGTATCAGCTCAAATGGATGGGAAACGGCGTCAAGAAGTATGTTTTGCGCCGCAAGGTTCAGCCCATGCAGCCCCTCTACCGCCGCGACGACGAGGACGAACTCGACGATGGGCCTCTCACCGTCGGCCCGGACGGAAAGCCCCTCTCCAAGGCCCAAATGCAGATGCAGGAGAAGTCGCCTGCTGGACACTACGAGCGTATGTCCGCCGACACGGCCAATTATGCCTAGACCGTTAGAGCTCATCAGTGTTCTTCTGGACTAAGCCATGTACGACGAAGTAAAGCCGAAGACGCATCAGAAGCATGTTAGTTTATAATTTGATGTGTATGCAGAAGTAATATCTCACTTGATTCGCGAGAAGAAAGGTGGACAAGAGGATGAAAGCAGGCCAGGGCTTTCAGATTGGTCTTAGTCGACCGACGGCGAGCGCAATGAGCTCGACGGGCGGAACTCGTGGGCATCTATCTTCCTGGCCTTGGCATTCCAAGCCCCGGCCACTGGGAAAGTGGTCTTCGTCAGTGGAAGCCGGGAGACGGTGCCGTAGCTTGTTCACTGTCCGCTCTTCATCAGTCGACTTGCGTCGTCGTGGAAAGGTCCTGGTATCCAGAAAACGCGGAGCGAGGCATTGTGGGAAGGCCGCTGCCGAGCAGGGGGGTTGCGGCGTTGCACCAGATTATCAGACATGTAGAAGAGTGGGTGGTGTCTGCTTTGTCTTGAGTATACTATGAAGGACGGCAGTGCAAAAGTTGTGAGCGTGGCACCATCTCGATTGTGAGATTTCCTAGCGTAGCCCAGAACACTGAGTCTCAGCGACATGCCTCCGTTTGCACCCCTTGCGCCCCTTGCGCCCTCGCTGTGTGCTACAGTCCAGTCAACCACGGCCTCCAAGTTTGCTATGTAGCGCCGGCAGCCCCTTCGATATGCATCTTTCCCCCTTCACTCCAACCCCACCCGCATCCACCCATGGCTCGCTTCAGTGCTCTTCAGGATTCCGACGATATCAAGCCTGACTTGTCCGACGAGTCGATGACGCCCGTCAAGTCTTCGAAAGGCAAGCGCAAGCGTTCCCCATCGGCAGTTGACTCGGATGATGACGTCTCGACTGCCTCCCCGCAGCCCAAGGAGAAGAAACCCCGCATTAAGAAAGAGTCGAAGGCACCTGGCAAGCCCTCTGCCTGGTCCAAGGCCCAGGTTCGCCAGCTTTGGGATGCGCTCGACATGAAGCCTGTGAGTCATTACCTGTGCAGAGGCTGCCGAGTCAGTGCTGATGTGCAGGGGAAGATCAACTGGGACCATGTTGCGGCACAGGTCGATGGACGCGGCAAAATCGTGAGTGCCGAAGAGTTGAGTACGAAGAGTGTGCCGCGCTGTCATGGAGTGAGACGATGCAAGATCCAGCCGGCAGCGGATTGGAGTGCGCGCAGTGACCGGCCATGTTTTGTATGATCACATCGCCGGGTGGCTTGCCGCAAGGGGGGGCCGGACATGGGTTTGGCACTGAGACAAAGTGATTGCTGACACCAGGCATGTCGTGACAAGGTATGCGGATATTCTCCATACACTCCAGTGGCTGGAACTTCCTAACGACAGTGGCTCAAGATGATCCGCCCTCGCCTCGAAGAGTTCATCGACAGCATGGGCGAATAGGGCCGTTCGTCTGAGCGCTTGCCGGACGCTCAAGAGCTCCAGAATAGACGGCCGCAAGGGAAGCCATGTCTTGTCTGTGCACGTGGGCACTGTGCCTGAGCTTGCTCCCTGCTCCACTCGGTGGTGCACAGACGAGGCTTTAGGGGACGGACGATCAGAGGCGAGGCCAAGAGATATAGTCTACCAGCCTGCTGTGCATGCAGCTGCGCTGCGTTGTGGTGGGCAAGGCAATCAATGACGACCCGAGCAGACTGACCGATCAAGACAGACGACAGGCAGGACCCACTTCACAATTGACGGTCGACACAGCTGACTTGCAGGCGTCATGTATCTGGGGACGAAAACACACCCGCAACTCTGCGCTGCTCGGCTGGGTGACATCATGAGATCAAGGAACCCGATTCGATGGGACATGTGAAACCCCAGTTCTCATGAGATCTCCCTCCCACCGCTCCAGGCAGGCGAGCTCGCGCGCGTCCTCCAATGAGCGAATGTGGGCGACGGCGCAGCAATCTGATTAAACTCACCCTCGAGCTCTCAAGAATACGGTCCGACGGTGCGCCGCGGACAGTCCGTTGCATCCTTTGCACGTTGTCTGTCGTGCAAGCGAGCACAGTGGTGAGTGGTGAGTGCCGCTCATGCAGATTTCCAACGATGCGTCCGGCACTCCTACATACCCCCAAACGGTTCCGAGCGTCGCACTCCTGCCGCAGCTCTCAGCAAACAGCCACCCGACGAGGAACCGTGCACGGCACTGATTGGCCGGCGACATGAGACGACGTGAGACGTCCCCATTGACCCCGGGATAAAGTTTGTTGAAGCTTTGTTTTCACAGATCGACACAGGGGATCGCATGCAGACGCAAGGGGTCGAGGGCGAGGGGGCTCTCTACCAAACCCATCGTCCAAGCAGGTCGCTGCATCGTCTGCCCACACCAGCAACAGACTCAGGACCAGGACCGTGGACCCGACGGTCACCGTTACCAGTGAACACTGTTCCTTGAGCAGGTTGGTCTGGACAGCAGCGACCAAAAAAAGATGCCTTGACGACGGTCCTCACTCAAAAGTCTGTCATAGACAGCTTGGGAAGGTTGTAAGGGCGGAAGGAGGCGACGTTCGGGCAGAGGGATGCAAGAGCATGCAGCACATGCGCCGTCGACAGGCATGCCGCCCGTTGTGCACGCATGCCTCGCTCGGGTGGTGAAACGAGATCGATCGAGAGGTCGCAGTCTTACATGAACAAAGTGGTGAAGAAAGGCGAAGGAGGCGGTGGAGGGATGACGTAGGATCATGGGTTCCTGCAGAGTCGAGTGTGGCTTACTTCTCCCTGGGCGCGCTCTGTCTGGGCTGGAGCCTGGCGGGGAAGACTGGACGGGCAAACGGCGGTGTGCAGGGGCGACGAGTCCGGCAGCGAATCACCTCGTCTCCGACAGCCGTATCAGCCTGAGTCAAATCCTGGCCGACCTGGGCTCGGAGCAACCGCAGCCTGACTTTCCTGTCATCAGTCAGCAGCAGGAATCCTCGCAACCAAGCGACAGCCTGCAGAACGCCAGGCAAGCGTTAATCCCCGCTCCGCTGCATGCAACACATCATTTATCTTGCTCTCTACTTGTCTGTTTGTTGCCGCGTGATCTGCCCTCGCCGCACGGCCGCATGGCCTGCTTTGCTCCATTGTGCGCCCATCGCGGATCGCGGGTGGCCTACTGCTCATAGCGCCCAGGAGAGGTAGGCGGAACGGGCGCGCCAGAGTGAGATCGAGAAAACCTAATGGGCGGCGGTGAATTACTAATGGAGGATTAGCGGCTACGTCACCTGGAGCCAACTAGAGCAAGAGGTGGATTAATGACCGCATTTAGGCGTGGTTATGCTTTTGCGGTGAAAGCGGGAACCCTGAGCAACCTAAGCCTGAACTGGTGGCAACCCACCCTGCACTCAGGGCCATCCAGGGACAGCGCATTCGATTCTCTGGTCTTGGCCGGCTGCGGCGCCCACAATGCCCTTGCGAGCCCCTGCCTGTCTGGGAGTCATGCGCTCACTCATGACAGTCCGCCCTTGAAGCTTCCGACCGTCCTCGAGAGAAAGCCCACTCCAGCGCAGCTCTCTTCTGGCGCATTGAGCGCTTCATCTCGACGACAGTCCTTTGCCTAGGACCACCCAGGATCGATCAGCGCTTGTCGCTCCGGCTCACTCGTTTTGGCTTTCGATGGCCGTGATGCTACGGTCGGAGGCTCGGTTGGTGCTTGCTGCCTGTGTGCCCTGTTGCCCTGCGGCTACGGCCTCTGCGACGCCAGCTTTTGCCTGGCTGACCTGGGCTGACCTCGCCATGTCTAAGGGCATGGGTTCAAGGTCCCAATGCCCTAATCAATTTCAATATCATCATAGACTCCTGCGTCCTGTGTCGCCAGCCAGCACCGTCAGCCGTTGCTTTGACTTTGGCTCAGGCTCGGCACCAGCGCTCTCACCCTCCCACCGGGCCATCCTGTCTAGTTCTTGCTGGTCTCACTGCTCATCAAGTCTTTGCATCACTCTATCCCACAACCTCTTCTCATCGCTGTCCATACACCATCGAACCCGATCCCGACACAATCCAACACCGCCCCTTTCCTTTCCCTCATAGACACAAGACACGCAAACACACCACGACATCGGTGAGTCGATCCCGTCAGCCCAAACCCGACCTCGATCTCAACTACGTCTTGGCATCGCATTTCCCTTTCCCAGTCCACGCCCGCCCAGCCTCCGTCAGCTTTCAGCCTCGTTCAACGTCCACCCAGTCGTACTTGACCCGGCGCTGCCTTCTTCCCTGCCTTCCTTCTCGTTCTCCAACAGCTTCTTCGCCTTCACGAACGTTCGGGGTGTCTGCGCGCAGTTACAGGCTGTCACTCGTCCAGCTGCCACCAAGCCGCAAGCCCCAGCCGGTAGCCTCTCGGTCCTGAAACCCTTGCTACCACGGTACCACTTGCGTTCGGCCCGCTGTTCGGCCGCATTCCCAGCGCGGCCAACCCGGTCGGCTTCGTCCCATTCGCTCAGCGGATCGTCTGGTGGTCCGCTCGATCATCTGCAAAGAGCGCAACTTGCATACCTGATTCGGTGCTAGTTGTTGTTGCTGGGCGCTGGGCGGGAAACGAACGAGCCAAGCATTTCCGCCAGACCGAGACCCACCACAGCACTCAATCATCGCCAGACGCTAATTCCCCAGGATCCACTCGCTCGCTGTTCTCCAGCTTCGCCTTCACTGTACAACACTTCGCCTGCATCACGCACATACACTCGTTCACTCCTTGTACCTCTTCGATTTCCGACATTACTTGCATCGACGCCTGCGAAACTGAGGACGAGAGCTACGGACATTCCCTTGCATTTGTGCCTAAACGAAAACATCCCCAACTTGAGCTCGCCCACCAGTCACACTCGCATCGCAATAACGCATCGCAGCTGTTATCCCGACGTCAGACGTGAACCCAAAACGCCAACCTGGTTCGACCTGGGTTCGTCGCATCGCTTTAATCACTCTGTTCGCGTCTATCGCTTCGACACTCTAGATCTCTGCATCTCACGGACATCTCGAATTCGGCACACACACGCATCTGAAACCGACACCGTCACTATCCGTCAGTGATCCGTTTGCTTCACCTTCCGAAGTAATGTCAAACCCGGCACCTGCCGGCGGTGCCGGTGATCGACCCTCGAAGCGTTACCTCGCTCCCCGCCAGGAGCAGCAAGGACAACCCGCCCAGGGAGAACAGCAACAACAAGGCGGCCAGCAGCAAGGTGGTCAAGCTCCGGCTGGAAACGGCCAACAGCAGGGCGGCGACCAGCAGCAGGGAGGCCAACAGCAAGGCGGCAACCAGCAGCAAGGTGGTCAGCAACAGCAGGGCGGCCAGCAACAAGGCGGTCAACAGCAAGGCGGCGACCAGCAGCAGCAGAACGGCCAGCAGCAGGGCGGTAACCAGCAGCAAGGCGGACAGCAGCAGGGTAATCAGCAGCAGGGTGACCAGCAGCAGGGCCAGCAGCAGCAGGGCGGACAACAGCAGGGTGGCCAGCAGCAGGGCGCCCAGCCGAGCCCTCAGCAGCAACAGCAGGGTGCTCAGCCAAGTGGGGGGCAGCAGCAACAGGGTCAGCAGCAGCCTTCCGGTAACGGGCAGCAGCAGAATGGTGGCCAACCGAGTGGCCAGGCTTCTGCCCAAGGCGGCGCCTCATCCGGGGCCTCAGGCCAACCTGCGTCACCGACTCCTTCCGGCGCCTCCGCTTCGGCCTCTGCATCCGCGCAACCCTCCCACGACGACGGCGGTGAATGGGCCAGCGTGAGCCAAGAGCCTGTTACCACCACGTTCAAAGGCTCAAACAGTCCGTCTGAGTACATTGGCGACATCGCCAAGCAGAAGTCTGGCTCAACGCTGAGCCCCGGCGCCAAGGGTGGTATCGCTGGTGGTATCGTCGGTGGCCTTGCCGCCATTATTCTCGCCTTTGTGTTGTGGCGTATGTGCCGCGGGCGTGGTAAGAAACTCCCACCACCGTGAGTAAACCGAATCATCGCGCCCAGTTCCCTCAAACTGACAAATGCAGAGCGCCTCGAGACATGTCGCAAGAGTACCGACCACCGTCCTACGCACGTCATTCCAATTCGCGGGGCCCGTCCATGACCATGGCTCGTTCCTATTCCACATGTGAGTGCACGGACGCGGGCGTGTGCTATTCAAGGCCTCAGCTGACCCGTGCAGTGCTCGGGCCCCCTCAGCGTCCTGCATCGCATTTTGACTCATACAGCTCGACGTCGTCCCAGAAGTACGGTACAAACTCGACCCCGTCGGGATCGCCGTCGTTGTCTTCGTCTGGCACAGGCACAAACACCCCCGGCGGAGTTCCCGTGACGGCCGCTGGCAGCCCGCTGAATCTGTACCGTGACGGTTCCACCGCCTCGAGCGGCTCCGGCAGCGGAGACGGGTCTAACGGACTCATTCCGCGCGGCGCTTCAGGTGACCAGCTGCGCGCCCCGACGCCCTCGGACCCGCAGGGCAGCGAGTTTGACTCGCGCACGAATTCCTCCGACTCGCGCGCCAACTCGCCCCGCCCCTCGTCCTTATCGCTCGGCAGCTCGGGAGTGCGCCGTTCCGTTCCGGGCATGCCGCGGTATCCGCAAGCGTCTTTGCGCGGTGCGCCGCATAGCGGACGTCAGGTGCAGATTACTGTGCCGCGCCCGCTGAGCATTGCGTCCAGCGCTGTGCCCGACTCGCCCAGTCAGGCGACGTACCCCTCCTCCCGCGGCGGGTCGATGTACTCTGCCCCGCCGTCGCAGCGCGGGAGCTACACGGCCGGATATCAGGCGCAGCGACAGTCGAGCTACGGCGAGTTTGGCGCGGCAGCGGCGGTGCCCAGCGATGTGGGGGCTGGCAGCAATGACACCGGCCAGAGCTGGGCGGACAGGACCGGTTTCCCGGACCGGCGCCTGCAAAAGTTGCAAAGTTGCACATGCCGCGCGCTGCGCTCGCAGATTTCCGTCGTCTCATGACCTGCTAGTGCTCGCTTATGAAGATGACTCTCGACTCATTCAGTGGCAAGAACACAGCTCAAAAGAACGCGCTGGATTGTCCCACACGAAGAAGAGCTCTCTGACACACATCAGTACTCTGCCCCGCCGTCGCAGCGCGGGAGCTACACGGCCGGATATCAGGCGCAGCGACAGTCGAGCTACGGCGAGTTTGGCGCGGCAGCGGTGGTGCACACGTCGCAGCACCGGCGCGGTCGCTCGAACGCGTCCTCGCTCGGCCCACCCGCCGAGGGCGAGTACAACGGGCGTGAGGACATTGTGTAAATCTCTCCTTCCTTCCCTTGCCTCCCGCATCAAATCATCAGCAATTCGCAACAACACCCATCCGCATTCGAATTTTTAGAGGACATTTCCCCCTGGCCGCCAAGGCCATCAGCCCAGCCCCGTCTCATCGCATCTGAAGAACCCCACGGCAGCACCGACGCACACCTTTTGCATGCCCCCATGCCCGCTACGCTCAAGCTCGACTAACGCTGCGCCGCTCACGCAGCCGAAAGTATAATCATCACACAAGCCATGCCAGCCTACCGCCAACCAGCAACCACATACATGGGTCCCTGCACATCTACATAGCCTATAGTCGCCGTCTGTACCATCCCGAGCATCCGAGCACTTGTCATGTCATCTCCATTGGACTCTGTGAACCTCGCCTGCTGCAGTGACGAATACCCATTTGGAGCTGAGGGTGCGTTAATTGTTGAGAAGCGATTCAGCTGCAGGTTCGATATAGTGGAGTGACGATCGGATGATATCATGGGAAGAGGGAAGTGTCCGGAATGCTGAGCGTTAGGCCAGCCCAGAAATAGCCCCGGCACCAGCTTGCCGCGCCGGGCGCTGGCGTAGTCTTCCGAGTCAGCCGCGGCGTCTCGGCCAGATCCGTCTCCTAGCAAGCATTGCGACTCTATACAAGACAAAGAGACCACGTCGCATGACTGTTGAACTGGAGAAGATGCAGAGCGAGGTGGGCGGCAAGGGTGAAGCAGGGACGGTGCCGAGGTAGAGGTCGTAGTATCGGTGAGGGTGATGACGAGAGTCTTCAACGCAAGTGACGAGATCAAGGAACGTTCCGGTCTCACTGGAACGGTGTACAGCGCATGGCACGTTTCGAGGTGGGTCGTGTTCGGTTGATACGTGGTGCCTTCGGACATCGTTCGGTCGCGCAAGAAGGGTGTCGCCAGTCGATCATGTGCGCATCCCATCTCCCGTCTCTCCTCCTTCCTCCTGCACTCGCACTTCGCTACACCACGAGCTCTGACCCAGCTCACGCTCACGCGATCACCACGCGACACCTTGTCCAGAACGAAGGGTCGAAGGCGAGCTTAGATAACCTGGCCGAGGTATGGCTGAGACGGAGCGTTCGGACGCATCTCCTCGGGCATCTCGCAATATCTCCGCCACGCGGCATGGTTCTCCTCGTCGAGCTCGATGCTCTTGCAGTGCGCAAACTGCACGAGGATACTCTGCAGTTCTCTCCTCCTGATCGTGGCTTCAGGGCCGCCGCCTCCGATCTTCTTTTCCTCCTCAGCTCCTCCTTCCGCTCCTTCTTCCCCTCCTTGGCCCACCTCCTCTCCTTCCTGGAGGTCGCTCTCCCGTCCGACGCCCGCAGAAGAAGCACCAGCGCCTCTGCCCTCGACATCGCCGTCGTAGCCGGCATTGATCCCATCCTTGCTCCACGGCCAGTACCTCCGCACATTCTCGCTAGTGACTTCGCGGAGTTCCTCCACATTGCTCATGAGCACGGACGTGCTGTCCACACTTGTAAGTGTGCCCATAAGCTCCCGGCCGTCGGTCAACGTCACAGAAAGACGGGACTGGAGCAGCGCGCGGATCTGTTCCGGGATCGGGAGGGCGTACTCGCCCGGCGCTGGTCGTGGGCCACGAGAAAGAGTCGAGGTGGGATTCGGCGCGGCCACAGTGTCGGGGTTCACGAGCGAGCTGGTCGGTATGGCTGGCGATCCGGGGATGGGGGCGAGTGGACTTCCGGCCATCCTGTCTGTTTCCTCTTTTTAAAATCGTCGTCGCCGCCGCCGAAGTGGTCGTAAGTGTAAGCACTCAACCGACTTTCGCCCAAAGCCCAATGTTCAAGGCGAGCTAGCCGGTCCAAGCCGAGCGTCAAACCGGTCACGTGCTAATCCACGTGGCAAAGAGCGCCACGTGGTCCCGCGCCGGAGCTCCGACCAGGAACCAACAACACGGTGACTCGGTGGCGTAATTGGTAGCGCTTCAGATTCCAATGACTTGGGATATAAACACGTATTCCTGAAGGTTGTCCGTTCGAGTCGGGCCGGGGTCGGGGCCTCCCGATGGGGAGATTCCACTTTTTCTAGCTCCGGTTTGGTTAGAGGGAGGGGAACAAACAACAACCGAGCGGGGACACGGAGCGCTGGGGACCAAAGGGCCTGGGTGCTTTGGACAGCGAAAGAGCCCGTCATTCAGCGGCTGACACAGCTTTCGTCTATGTGGTATTCTAACAGCACGTTGATGTTGCTCTTGCTCTCGCGAGACCACTGGCAGACACGGACTGAAGCTAAGTTTGGGTAATGGACGCCGAACAGGTCCGCACGAGAGAACGCTTGACGTTCCACCACCAGAGTCGAGGAAGAATCGAGGAAGCTCGTGGCCACTTTCTCTACACTCGAGCACTCGACCGCTTTACTTGGAGAAAACGATGCCCCGGGGGTTCGGATGTTTGATTCTCTGAGTCCAACGTCTTTCACGTAGACTACTCGTCGCCACCGACCCCCTCTTCGCTGTCAATGGCTAGCGGTGATGCTCACGATGCCCGTTCGCCACACTCGGTCCCTCTTCATACGTCACCGCACGCCCTCTGTTTGGGTAAGTTCGGCGTCAGTGTGGCTATCGGCAACTCGCGGCAAACGCAGCAACTGTTCTCACGAAGCATGTGTGCACAATGCCTAAATCCCCTTCCCATACTCCAAGTCCAAACAAGCACTAATCAGTCTACTCATTACTAATCGGGCGACTCCGCAACTCTAATACAGGTTCTAATGAGATAACCCGTCCAAGTGGTCCGAGTCACCGGTGATGGCCGACAAATGCGGCCAACTCCGCTACATGCCGCCGTTATCGACTCACAGATCGCTGCGTGGTTGGTCAGCATTTCGCCGGCGCTCCGCAACGCCTGGCATTGATCTACGCCATGCGGCGCCAAGGGACGGTGCATGAGCCCGTGTGAGTCCAGGCTCCTCGGCCATGAGCGATGTGGGGGCTGGCAGCAATGACACCGGCCAGAGCTGGGCGGACAGGACCGGTTTCCCGGACCGGCGCCTGCAAAAGTTGCAAAGTTGCACATGCCGCGCGCTGCGCTCGCAGATTTCCGTCGTCTCATGACCTGCTAGTGCTCGCTTATGAAGATGACTCTCGACTCATTCAGTGGCAAGAACACAGCTCAAAAGAACGCGCTGGATTGTCCCACACGAAGAAGAGCTCTCTGACACACATCACCATGTCTGAACTACGCCCGTCAAGTCCATCTGCCCCGTCAGGGTCCGATCCCACTCACCCAGTCCCAACAACAACAACAGCGATGACGATCGATCACCCTCCATCCGACTCGCCGCTCAAGAACGAGGAAGAGAAGCGGAGGCCTAGTAGCAGTCACTCAGTGCACTCAACGACCACGACAGCCGTTGGAGACGACCACCCGCCGCATCTGCACCACCGTCGCCCAACCTCTCCAATCCTCGCACCTCCACCAGATGTCGTCTCCGTGTTCGACCCCGCTTCCGTCGGCGGCGGTGGCCCCCTCGTACGGATAGCCTCGCAACACTCGCAACGCCGGCTGTCTCAGCGCCGTAGCCAGGGCGCGGCCAGCATGCGGCGGCCCACGTTCACGGCGTTCGGGGATCCGAACTCACCCGTGTTCGAGGAGGACTACGACGGCAAGCTGCCGAACATGGAAGTCAAGAGGATGGAAACCGAGGGACCGGTCGTTGTGCTCGAGAAGGGCGGTCCCGGAGGTGACGGTGACAACTGCGAGAAGTGTCGCGATGCCGAGGAGGAAGAGGAGGGGCATGCTTACCCCGACGGTGGATACGGTTGGGTCGTCGTGGCGTGCTGCACAACGCTGTGTGCTCTGACGAATGGCTGGGGAATGAACTTTGGCGTCTTCCAGCAGTACTACGTCGAGAACGTCTACCCTACTGCCCCGACCGCTGTCATTAGTCTGGCGGGCACGACGCAGGGCTTCGTGAGTCGCCGTTTCGTCCGTCTGACAATGCTGACAACAGTTTTTCGCATGTGTTGCCTTCATTTCCGGCCGTCTCGGCGACCGCTTCGGTTTCAAGCGTGTCCTCTATTTTGCCGCCTTCATGTGCTGGCTTGGCACCTTCTGTGCCGGCTTCGCCAACCCCCTCTGGGCCGTGATTCTGACACAAGGCGTCATCACGGGCATTGGCGCAGGCATCGCTGCTCCGCTCTTCATGAGTCTGCCTTCGCAGTGGTTCCTCCGTCACCGTGGTCTCGCCTCCGGAATCACGATGGGCGGTGCAGGTCTCGGTGGAGGCATCTCAACGCTCATCATCCGCAAGCTCCTCCTCTCGGTCGGACGGCATAAGACTCTAATGTAAGGTGTCAGGTCAGGAGAACAGTCAGTTAACATCAGCATCATGTCCTTCATCAATCTCACTTTCATGCTCATCAGTATTTTCCTGATTCGCACACGCCCGACGGCACCCGAGGCCCGGGCAGCAAGGGGCCCGCTGTTCAACGGAGCCGTCTTCCGCCACAGCGAGTTCTGGTCCATCGCGCTATCGCTCCTCATCGCCATCATCGGGTATTCGACGCCGTACACTTTCCTCGCCTCCTGGGTCGCCGAGCGCTTCCCCGACCTCACAGGCATGGCGGCCACTGGTCCTGTATCGGTGCTTGCGTTCTCGGTTTGCATCGGCCGAGCGCTCGTCGGGTTCTGTGCCGATTTTGTCGGACCACTCAACACGTACATCGCCGTTTTCTTCCTCAGCGGCGTGATCCAGCTCTCGCTGTGGCTTACGGCGCACAACCTTGCGGGCACCTACGCCTTCGCGGTCCTTTACGGACTAATTGCGCCGGGTTTCCTCGGTCTTCTGCCACAGATCGTCGTGACCGTGCTCGGTCCTACGGCGCTCGCGTCCAATCTTGGCATTCTTCTCATGTTCAACGCCCCTGGTAACCTCGTCGGCGGCCCCATGGGAGGAGGCATCCGAGACGCCACCGGAAGTTATAAGTGGACAATTGCTAGCGGTGGTATCCTTCAGATTGTTGGCGGGACGATCGCTCTCTGGGTTGAGTTCTATCCTCAAATGTCAGCTAACGTCAGCCCGCTTCCGCACGTCTCCCAAGCTGTTCACACCGATCTAAACACCTTAAGATCCTATAATCGCTTCCTGCATGTATCATGGACATTCGCAGAATGGCTCCCGCTCTAGGAAGGCGCCGAACTCCGCTAAGGTGTAGCTCAACTGACAAAGACTCACTCCCACTTCACCTCCGCGAGCTCCCTAACTGCCTCACTCACCTCTGACTGCCACTGTAACGCTATCGGTGAGCGCGGCGGCGGCCGCGTCTCACGGGGTCCTGTCCCCGTGCACACTGAGTGGGTCCGGTTAACAGCATGTCTCATCGGGGCGACTGCGTCTGAGACAACAGCGGAGCATAGTTATAAAGATACAGCGCGCGGGACCTAGCGGCTGCTTCGTGCCGTAAGCGGTGCTGTAGTCCTTTCTTCCGCTCGGCCAGTGACTGAAGCTCGGTGGCAGTCACGTCAGGTGATGTGTGGCCGAGCGGCCGGAACGTGAATGACGAGGGAGAAGAATGAGGGATGTGCCCGGGCAGACCGAGGATGTGAGCTGATGGGCAGGGCCGGGTAGGGGCTGGAGAGGGATCCGCAAGGGTTTCGGTTCCACAACAAAGGACAGCATGATGTTGGGGCGTGTTGGTGTTGGCGCGTTCCTCCGCTTTTCCGGCGGGTCGCCTCCCCCCTTTCTCTCGCAGCACCAATGAGGTCTATGAGTCCCACTAGACCGAACAACTTGGGCTGGCGGAATGTTGTTCTCCCTGCAGGACTAGGAGGAAACTTCGGAGATTCCCGAGTTTTGGCAGCGGACTGCCACCGTGACAATTGGGCGATGGCATCATGGCGCGGTCCTTCGTGGCGATGCAAGGGCTAGCGTGCTGCTTGCTTGGTGGTCGTAGCGAAAGGTTCGGAGACAGCACCGAGCTCTTTCGTTGCGACCTCATGGCGCGTGCGGGACCCACTGCGGCGAAAGTGATATCTGATATCCGGCGCCGTGACATGGACGCTGGCCTCGGCGGGGTGGATGGCTCCAGTGCTAACTCTGCCGATCTCTGGCAGACTTGAGCACTTTAGGGCGATCAACGACAGGCTACAACGGACAGGAGAGTGGTCGGCAGAGAATCTAGGACATCTACCTAAAGTAGTTGGAATAATGTACATGTCGTGGAGCAAGGCTGAGGAGAGCACTGCCCCGGCGCTCTTGTAAAAGGAGGTTCAGCTGATGCTACTAATTGCCGCGGCTGTCGAGAACTGGACGTCCCCAATCGATCCCCATTCCGCTACTAACTTTGTAACGTTCCGCCCGCCGGGTGGTGTACCACGACTGCCGTAGCGTGTCTGCTGTAGAGGTTGCGGAGCTCGGTGTGCAGCCCGTCCACGCAAGCCCAGCCGCAGTCCCCCAACCCTCTCGGTTACCAACATGTGTCGCTTGGGAAGAGACCATTCCCGTGGGGTTGCGGGCTGTCGGTGTGGGTCGGGCGGTCAGGCGTGCTCGATGCTGCTCGGTCTGCAGGGAGTGCAGCTCTAAATGTAGGGGAAATACGGGTTACCGTGAACGCCAAGGTTGCTACCCCCAACGCAATTCTTGCTCAGTTCAGTGCTGCGCCTCTGCGAAGCTCGCCCTCGCTAGCAAGCGAAGGAGCGAGATCCCAGTCCAATGTCCATCTGGAAGGCAACGTGTGCTCCACCAAGCTCTGAAGCGAGCCGCGATACCTCCCTATATTGACAGCGAATGAGTTGCAGCTGTCTGACCTTAGTGGTGGCTCAGCGACCAGTCTTCGGTGTGATGTCCTCGGTCAGTGGGCCTTACGTTCCCTTCGAGCGTCAGTTGCGGCCACTTGTGGCGTTGTCGAATGAGCGGACTCGCGAAGGTACTTGAAGTTCCGCTTCGTGCGGTTCCAGCTGCTTAAGCTCGCACCAGAAACTGCATCTAACAATAATGGGCCCACGCAATGATCAAGGAAACGCATTCCAGTCGTATTAGCTCAGTCCCCCAACCTTGTGTTTCTGAAGCGAACGTGAGTTTGTTCTGTGATCGAAATCGTGTTCAATGTGCTCTCGACAGCTGTCCTCCATACGCGATGGCGACAACTGTCCTCCTACGTGATGGCTTCATCTTCCTGCGTTTAGCTCCCCTTGGATTGTCCATCTCTTCAAGTCTTACGAAGACTGTATAGTGCTCCTCACACCTTCGGTACCCTGTGGCTTTCTCAAAACTCTAAGTCTGCAGTCAGGCCTGTTTATCAATGAAGGAAGCCACGCTGCCCGCTGTGCTTCTTTATCCGGGCAACTCAAATCAGGACTGAGCTTATTAGCCTGTGGAGTGAGTGGAGCTTGGGGGGGAAGAGGCTATGTGGTTCCGTCTGGTCAATCAGCAGGTCTGCGCCTCAAGCACGCTGTACCGTCTTTTGGGGCGTACCACTGAGCCTTCTAATCTCACTGCATATGTGGTAAAAGCGAATGTGGCAGCGAGATGCCCCCACGAGAACTGCTGCGCACAGCTGTCGACCGTGTGTGGTGACGACTGTGATGCAAGTGGAGCAGAGCGAAGCTCAAAGCTTATCACACTCGTTTCCTGGGAATTGCGGCAATCGTGGCCGTTTATTCTCCTACTTTCCTGACCCACCGTCCTGTGTGCTCTTCCAAGAGTAACAAATGCCCCGGTTAGCTGCCCATACAAGTAGTAAGTCGTAAACCGGAGCCGATCACGGCAGCGACGACAAGCGTCGCAGGGAGGGTTAAGCTTAAGCTCCACTTTCACCCTGCACCACGGTCGCCCTCGTGCCATTGTTGGGGTTTGAGTCGCGCTTTGGGTGCGCGATCGCAATTCCGCACGGTCTGCCTACAAAGGCAAGCGGGCGTCGGCGCGCGGGCAAACACTGTACGGGCCGGGCAGAGCAAATGGGAGTGTAACCTTGTGACATCTTGGGTCAGCACAATGGTCAGAATTCAGTTTCTGATCAGTCCGGAAGCCCGTTGTCAATGGCTAAATGGACAACTCTGTTGTCAGCAAGCGTACCGACTATCGCCGACATGCGTGTGAGCATGTGGACCAAGCTTAAGTGTAAAGGATGGCGTGCCGACGCGTCTTCTTACAGGAGTCGGAGATGCCCCCCACTTATTCTGACCTGCTTATGTAGATCGTGCTTACACTATCAAGAGGATGGTTTTAATTATGATCAGAACGGACCACGCGCTACGGATCAAGTCCGTTTATGAACATTCGATCAACCTTAATCTGCCATTGTCGTCGATCAATTCTCCTCATTCACCGTGGACAGGCTCCTCTTCCCAGTCGTGCCTGCTTGCTGTTACCTCCGGGTGTCTCCCGTAGCTCTCAAGTCCGTGCTCCCGTGTCCGTGCGCTCGGACCCCGGGACGCCGGAAGTGTGCAAACCTTGTCCGCCTTCAATCGTCAGCTGAATGCATGTTCGTGCCTTACTACGGCTGTTGGACTATTCGCAAGTTCTCAGCGGAGGACCCTCAACGTGCATGCACGATCAGAATGAACGGCACAGACGGAGCACGGGAGCGAGGCAGCGGCGTACGGCATCTCTGACGGCACTGGCTCTCAAATGCACGTCCTGCACCACCTGCATCGTCTTGGCTGCCCGCCGTTGCAATCGTGCGTATGCATGCAACGCGATCGGCGATCGTTGTGCCAGCGACATCGGAAATTATGTCACGGCAGGCACTGTACTCCCAGGCACCGAGGCACAGTTCTTATTGCCTAATAAAGTCAACTGTTGCAGACCTATATCCGCTCACTCGAGCTATCTTGGTGCATGCATGCTGTTCAATGCGTTCGGTGTGGGTTTCATGCGTTCGAAGAGTTCGGAAAACTATGAAGTGCGTTCGGCGGGCATTCGTTTCAGTCAGGTGAGCAAACATGACGAGAGGCAGAGTCCTCCTAGGTGCGCCTCGATATGCCTTCCCCGTGACGGCGGATGCATGTAGTGGCCAGAGGTTAGTACCCGCTCCGCCCCCGTGCATCCGTTGTATCCGGCGCATCCCCGGCATAGCGTGTTTGCTAGCGTCGATGATGGCTTTGGTCTGGGGGAGAAATCCTCCGCTCACAAGAGCGGAAACACAAGAGCCGTTTGGTGAACCCGCAAGAGTGGCCACGAGAGCATAGCGTGCATGCGTACGACGCTCTCGAGGCATGCACCGCAACGGGGGAACCCGCTCAGCTCCGCTCAGCCGAGCTGGGAAGCGTGGCCCGGTACCGGTCCCGCCTTTGATTGAAAGTCATGACTGTTGGGAATAGCATGGAGTCGTAACAACATGTCCTAGGACGTCATTGCGCGGTAAGACTAGCGTGTTTCCTGCGTTCCGTTACATGCTCCGATTGCTCCAAATGGTCCTCGCGCGGGAGCTTTTGAGGCTTTTCGTGGTGTATGAGTACTGCGGTCCAGTACACCGAGCTAGCATGGCCGAGCACTTGGCTCGGTCGCTGGACGTAAGGGGCGGAACGCAACCAGGAGTACAGGACGCACGGAAAGAACCATTTGGGAGCCGCTCCCAGTCGCTCGGGGACCTGCTAAGGTGACTCCAAAGTGACGAGCCAGGGGTTCCCGGTTCTTCGGTCACTCTCTCGGCGACGGGTCAATTACTGCGCGTCGGTGACTCGCCGCCAAGTCACCAATACCGGCGAGCGGTCGTCATCTGCGTCGCACTCTCGTAATGTTTGGTTACTCTAGATCGCAATAAGCGCTGTGAACCCTTGTACATCCCTGCTTGAGCGGCGGTACTCCTGTCGTTCAGGCCGTCATTAAGGGCTGCTAGGCGATACGAGAATCTGGTACGGGCGCGGATCAGCTCATATCAGGCCCCCCGGGCTCATTTGGACGTCCTGGACGGCATGTGGGTCATATGGCGCCTGGGTAACGTAAGCAATGTTCCAATCGCCCCCTTCTGGCGTGCTATCTGCGGCTCGGATGCAGCCCGCTCGAGCCCGCAGGCAATGGAGAGCCCGCGGGCATGGGCTCGATGTCCACCTCGAGGACATCAGCAGTTTCGTGCAAAGTGGTGTTTCTGATTCAGTTGTCGGTGATGGGATCTCGCCGAGCAAGGAGGGGTGGAGCAAAGTATGCCGCATTGTGTCGGATGTAGGGGGGAGATCTATGCATGGCAT